GACTTTGTAAGAAAGTGAAATTTTCTTTTCACAGTTTCACACAATAGTTTAACAATAATAGTCGTGCTTTTGTTTCAAGCATTATTTAAGATAGAGTATATTAGCTTTGCATTTTTCATCTCCCATCGGGACTTCTGTTTTTTGTCGGAATTTGGTCGAATCAGGGTTTGAGTTTTGTTGAAGTTGGTGATTGTGTGTGTGTTTGACGGATAGTTTGCGGGGTGTGTTGCTGTGTATCGGTTTTTTGGTTGTCAGTGTATATCGTTGGTAGTACTGTTGTGGTGGAAGCGGTTGGTTTGGTGCGACACCTAATAGTACGCGTTTGTGTCGTGTTTCGTAGTTGTATGTGCTTTGTAGCTTTGTGTGATTGTGCTTTCTATAGTGTCGGTAGCTATATACTGCTGCTGGGGTGAAGATTCGTGTATAGTGTACGGAGGTTTTGGTGTTGTTGTGCCACTCATGCTTTGCCTCGTCTGTTTTCGGTATTAGTTTTGTTTTTGGGCGGACTGTGTCGTGTGTTTTCGGAATGAAGGAAGAACTGCCGAAAGGGTTGGCAATGACTTATTCGTTGATGTTGATTAGAATGTTTGGTGTTGACGCGTATCGCGCCGTCTGCTAGCTTCCCCGGCTAAGAAGTAATACGAATATTTTCCTCATTTTGGACTATTTGCAAACGATTAAAAGTTTTTCGCAGTGACTTCTGTACGTATCAAAATCAGTTTTAAGTAGATAACTCGAGTAGTTTTATTCAATCATACCGAAGACAACAAAATTCATTTTGTGTAAGTGCGAATTTCACGCACCGTACATGTCGGGTTCGTTAGCACCAGGATCTTTCAGTCAAGGGTTAGTGAATCGAAGATGAGCGTTACTTGTTGTTTTTGAATAACGATATGCAAAACTAACACGTTCTTTTTGTTCAAGAAACGGACTGGAAAGTGTTTTTTGATTATCATAAAGGAATTCATTCATCATTTTATCAGTTTTCGTTGGTAATCGTTTTAATATAATTCGTTGTCGTAAAATTTCTATTTGTTCTGTTGTTTGTAATTTATTAGCTGTTGCTTGCCAAATTTGTTTAGCTAATTCAATTTGTTCTTCATTAGGTTTTAATTCATAAAATTTCGTGATTAATTGATGATCATTCCAATCTAATGATATCATTTGTTTTTTATAATCGAAATTTTCTTTCAATCGTTGTTGACCTTTTTTAACATATTCATTAATTGCGTGGGATAAAATATCTGGATCTATAAAGGGTGGTGTTGACCATTGTTCTATATTTTTATGCAACATTTGGTTATATCCCTTTAATCGATTTCCAATTTGTTCAAGTTGTTGTTGTATTTTTTGCAGATGTTATTGAATAGAAGAATGCTTTGGTTTATGCATGCGACATGTATTATGTTGATTAGCATATTGTTTAGTTATTTTAGATTGCCATTGGTTATCGCCACCAGCATCTTTTGAACTAATCGTATCATATTCTTGCCATAAATGTTGTTGTAAACATTTAAAATAAAGATGATTAGTAATTTCAGCTATTCGACGAATAAAATAAAGCTTTTCATTTGTATTTCAAAATGTTGACTCTAAAAACTTGAAAAAGTTATGATAGTGTCGTAATAATTCTTAATTCGTATGCAATGATAGAATTAGAATTTGAAAGTAGAATACAAAGATCGACACAACGTTTCGTCCTTTCTCAAGGGACTCATCAGGTATCTTTTGAATTCTAGAGGGGTGTGAGGCTGAGTATATAAGAGGATTCCAAGCTTCTTACGACGATCGTTTCGACTATTGCTTAAATAGTCATCATCAGGTAAGTTCGGAAGGATTACTACTGCATCGTATTTAATCCCAAAGTATAGAGAGTAACAAAAGTCAACACAAGGGAAGACTTCCATTGTCGATCTGGTATTAAGTAGAAATCGGTGTTCCAGTGAAAAGAAATGTTGCGGAGTTACTAGAACTACCAAACCCTAGCGTGGAACTGACGCCGCAACCAAACAGATTTGTTCCTCCTAGCATTTCGAACCAAAACGTTTTTGCTGTTATAGTCAATTTAGTTTAACGCATAAATGTCTAATCCACCAGAACCCGTCATGTCTATAGATTAAGGACTGCATGAATTCCAGAGAGGTAAAAAGCCCTGCATTACAACGCTTTTCGCTTTTCTAAAATAAAATCAGTCTGGGAACTTTTCTGATGCCCTACATAATGACGGACAGTTCAAATTTCCAAGGCTTGTGCTTTCCTTGACTAAAGTGACAGTCCTAAAATATATCTATTTACTAGAAACAAGTTCAGTTTAAAGTCAGAAGGATAGTTTGATTTGACCGAGAAGGAGTTCTATCTACGCGTGTGTACAACGGATGAGAGCACACTTCTCACGTCGAAGTATCATATGTATCGTTATCGTCAATGTAATATGATCAACAAAATGAAACACAACGAGTTGAGGGTATTTCAGTTAGTTACAGAAATACAATAGCGAACAAGGACTTCATCTCAAGCTCGATATAATTGTATTATTACGATTAATGGGCAATAATTTCAACACAGAAAACATGATACTAGCAGCGTTTTCTAAAAACTTCATTCCTACATGTCTTCAAGAATTTCAGATTCGCTTCAAGTTTACGTACAAGTGTATACATCTTCACCGCTGTTGTTATTGTGTTTTTTTATTTCGATATAATTGTCTACCTGCTTATTTTGCTTCTCATCCTACTCAACATTTCAACCATACTGTATTCGATCAAGATAATGGTATATTAATTGACTTATTTTATTATGACGCAATTGGGACGTGAACAATCACATAATTTAAATGTTCACGATAGATTAAAAAATCTCAGAGAGATCCTGACAAATATCTATGTGCATTACAGGATGATATTTTATACGATTTCACATCACCTGCTTATCTAACAGCACAACTAAGATTATTTTATATCTCGTCAATCATTAATTCTCTTTTACGAGCATTTCGGTACGATTCTGTCAGTAGTAATTTTAATACTCGAAGGACTTTTCACAGATTGAAAGACAAATTGTGCTAATCGGACAAAACCTTGTGGATATATGATCCAACAGTTATAGTCATGCTAACAACATAATGTTACTTGAACAGAGACACCTGGTAAACTATATTTTATATCACCACCAGATGAACCATTTCAAAAGCATTGCTCTTTGTTACTCATTTAAAATAAATGCCCCAATCAATGATTTACAATCTCTAGTTCAAACGAAGCATATGCATGTAACCAGCATTGACGCCTTCTGAAAATAACTGTATACACTTCGAACATAGAGCGGAAAGTATTTCTGCAAAATACGAAAACAATATCTAGAAATTTGTATTCACGTTCTAGATGAAACACAACATTGAACGGAAAAGTTGGAAAATGATAATAGGTCTTCCTTCATCTTTTCAGAAGCATTATATTGTGGTGGATTCATTCTATCCTCGAAGAATAGAAGAAAACCCGTCTCACACATAGTGAGAAATTGGTTCATGGAAACAGATGGGAGATGAAAAATGCAAAGCTAATATACTCTATCTTAAATAATGCTTGAAACAAAAGCACGACTATTATTGTTAAACTATTGTGTGAAACTGTGAAAAGAAAATTTCACTTTCTTACAAAGTC